TTTTTTTTTTTTTTTTTTTTTTTTTTTTTTTTTTTTTTTTTTTTTTTTGCTCTGGAATTTTTCTGATAAATTTTCGAATTTACCAATTCCAGCAACACAATACTGGTTCCAGAAATAATATTAAATTGTTAATTTAATCTCCAATTTTATATATTACTGGTGCATGATTATTTTGTTAATTACAATTAAATAATAAAATGGTAAAATCATATTTACTATTTTAAAAAATGACTGACTTGAAAGAAAAACTATTATAGTAAAAATAAATTAAAATAAATTATTGTTTTTAAAAAGTATTAAATCAGTATTAAAGAAAAAGAAAAACTTTTAGAAAGTAGCAGAATCTTTGGAAATTGAGGCGCAGACATGCACAACAGACAAAAATGGAAAGGGATCAATCATCCAGATGATTATTTTGTTAATTTTGTTAAATAAAATGGTAAAAAAAAATAAAATTATTATTGTTAATTGGGTAATTTCGAGTGTGGATGAGGCGCCACGTAAGTTCTGACAAGGTGGCTAACGTGTGACGTTTTGATGCTGTGATTCAGCTCAACAGTGTGTGTGCGCTTTCGGGAGTCGGACATCAACGTTGCGTCCACAGATTTATTTCTTTCTTTTAGAAACAAAAATTCAATTTTGTTTAAAATGGCAAAAGGATAAAATAAAATCATTCTGCAATGTCTCCTTTTTTGTGTACCCAAATTTTGGACTTTTCCTCCAAGGTAAATGCGTTTTTACTTTCCCCCAAACGAGGTAGAATTCGTTTTTACCTCCCTCCTATTTATCCCTTCTACCCATTTTTTATTTAAATTAATTTATTTATGAATACTTTAAAATTTTAATTGATAGAGTCGTATGCAATACACTCTAATATTAATATTTCACTTTATATTTCTTAATTTGCGATGTCCAAACAAAACCCCCATTTTATATGAGTGTGGAAACCTTGGCGTAGCAGATGCGGTTTAAAGCCCTGAGGATAATATCTACTAGCGGTGAATATGAGGCGGTGTGCCAGTAAGGACGCTACGCCTTAGAGGAGGTGGATTTAGCGGGGTCTCACGTTGATTGGGAAAAGGAACAAGTGCCAGTGAGGACGTTGGTCTCGAAGGGGAGTGGATTTGGCGGGATCCCATATTGATTGGGGAAAAGAACGAGTGTTAGCGAGGACGCTGCCCCAAAGGGGGAGTGGATTTGGTGGGGTCCCACATTAATTGGAAAAAGAAACGAGTGCTAGCGAGAACGCTGGTCTTGAAGGGGAAGTAGATTTGGTAGGGTCCCACATTGATTGGAAAAAAAAACGAGTGTTAGTGAAGACGTTGGGTCTCGAAGGAGGTGGATTGTAATGTTTCACATTGATTGAGGAGGAGAGCAAAATTATAAGGGGGTGAAAACCTTCTCTCGAAAGCTCATTTATGTAATAATCAAAACATTTTTAAATTTTATGAGTAAAATAACATTTTATCTTATTGAATATCTATTAAAATTAATAAATTATTATATGTAAAATTAAATTTGGTGTGAAATAAGTTATTGATCTAGATACTGATTTAAAAGTTTAATGACTTATATAATATAAAATAAACATATAACCTCTTTTAACACTGTTTACTTATATTATTTATATAAAAGATAAATATTTATTTAATTGCAGTTTTAGTTTTTTATGTTTATATTTATTTGGTTTATGAATTTATAAAATATTCCTTATTACTCTTAAACGTTTAATTTTGTCTATAGTAAATTTAAATTTTTTAAAAGAACATTTTCTGTGTACAATATATTTATTAAATAAAGAAATAAATGACCTTTAAATATAAAATTAAATTGTAGGTATATTTATATCCAAAATTTTTAAACCTATGAATGAGTCAACGTAAATTAAAAGGCTTATGTATATGATAGATATAAAAATTAAAATTTCAATCATCTACTGAGTAATTATAAAATTTATATATAAAATAAATATAAAATTAAAAATTTACGGATATATAAAATTAGGAAATTTATAATTGTGAAAACACACTCCAAATATAAGTGTGAATAGCAGTAACAATTTTTTTTTTTCTTTTTTTAAAAATTTAAAGAACTATTTTATTTTTTTACTATCTATATTGACATTAATTTCATCCGGACTAAGTCGCCGGAGTTGAAGAGTTGCAGCCCAATCGTCGAGGATGGCGGCGCCGTCATCGTCCTCAGCATCTTTAGTGAGATCGTGGAGGACGGCGTTTCTTACTCTGAGAGACGAATCGATCTCTTCTTCGACTTCAATTTCCCAACTTCTTTACGACACCATATTCTCCCACTCCGACTGCTTAATCGCCGCCGCGCTCTACCTTCCTCCACCCGAAGTATGATTTCTCCCCCTTTTCTATGTATATTAATCGACGTTATTAAAAAATGCATGGTTATCGTTTTTTTTTTGTGTGTGCATAGGTTTCATCAGATCTGCTGTTTCTCTTAGAAGTGGCTACTCCTGCTTCCGACTCCGTGCAAGACGTTGCCCTTCTCTTCTCGGACATCATACATCTGGTGCAATTCACATTTTCGAGTTCTATTTCTTATTTTACTTTCTTTCGGACCTATTTCCTCAGGGTAGAGCCTGAATGATGAAATTGGGAAGTTTGTTCTGTTAGTCAATTTTCGTGCTTCTGTGAAGAATGTCCCCAACAATCTGGCGCAAAAGATTATGCAAATATTATTTGGTTATGGGATTTGAAATCTTCAGTTTATCGGTGAATGTTTTGAGTAATAGATAGTCTATACTTGACACAATGCAAGTTGATCATCAAATACCAAAATTCTATATAATCTATATATATATTTTTGATAAGAGACAATTTTCATTGACGTTTGCAATTTGCCAAAGGGACATGTTATTCATCTTACTTACAAAAGACCTTACCAATTTACATTGAGAGAAGTATGATTATAGGAAGCAGAAGTATTAGACAATTTACACCAAGAAATGCGTGGTAAACAACATTTTCGAAGAGTTTAATAGTCGTGTCTTTTTCGTGAACACTCTCCAATTATTATTATTATTATTTTTTTCATAGTTTCCAAAAGAAGACCACAATGAGGTTTGTCTATAGTATAGTTTTTGCATTTTTGTAAGGGTGATATGTTAAGACCATGTCCAATATACCTCCCAAGGAAAGTGAGATGCTATATGAAGATATTGAGAATCTTTGCCCAGAATTTATAAGTATATGTGCATTGCATAAACAAGTGGTTTTGTGATTCATTATCTTTCCTCCATAATGGGCATCAATTTGGAAATAGAGTCATGTAGACTTTCTTTTTTAGGTCTTCACTTGTGCTCATGGCTTTATGTACCATCTTCCATAGGAAAAACTTCACATTTTTTAGGGTGATTTCTTTTCCATATTGTCTTTGCTAGTGTGAGGTTTATTGCTTCTACCTTTTCCCCCATATCCATCAACAAAAATTTTGTGGAGAAGACTCCGTCAATGCTAGGAAGCCACTTCAATGAGTCTGCCTCTTGAGAAAATACAATTGGGGCAAGGTCAAAGCTTAATTCGGTTCATTTTGTAGAGATGCAAAATGCAAAATTCAGCCTAAATACTGTTAGAGATGCAAAATTCATATTGTCGATCTAGTTTCATTCTTCTTCATCGTAATAACTATGAATGTGAAAGTTGAACATTAAGTGGGGAAGATCTATTGAGTCACTTACAATCAAGTATAGTGGAAAATTTCACTGTATATGGAAGATAATTTGCATTTAAAGTCATTGAGAAAATATGTGCAACAAACATTGAACATATTTCATAGATATGCAGCCTGCTAGATCAATGTCATCAAGCTATATGATTACGTACAATGTAGTATTTACTAAAAAAGATACACTCCTAAATGATGAGGAATTCGAGTAGTGCATATTTTTTATACAAACATTTTTGAACCTTTGCTGTCTTAACGTTGTTCTTTCCCTGCCTTGCTCTTCTGAAATCTTTGTTTTCTCTAATTATTAATATTCTTGCACCCAATGCAGATCCACGGTATTTCTTATCAAGTTGTTCTTGAATTTAGTTCTTCCTCTTGGAACCTGCTTCTTCAATATTTTGGAGACGCGATCCAGTGCATACTTGGAAAGCTTCATATTCCAGGAAATTATGCTCAAATAAGGACCGTCTCGGAATCTTTGGAGATTGTAAGGTAAGCTTCCCTTTTCTCTCCTGTTAGCTTGGGGAAATAGTACTCTGCGGCTTCCACTTCTACACACTAGGCCAGCATTTTGTCATTTGAGCCAAAAGTCATGTTTGCATCTGAGTAAATTTATTGAATTTTGTGATCTATATGGTGGGAAAGGGGAAATTTTGTTTGCTTTGTCATTTGTCGAGAGTGAAGCAAACTTTAAACTCTTTGACCTAAACACTGCAGAAAATACCGTTTATTCACTACTTTGCAAGAGTGCAGATTTTATT